CCCTCCTGAAGTTCTCATAATGAAGCCCCTGCTCTGTAATCCATGAAAAGCTCTCCACCAGCATGTGCTGAGCAGGACAGACAGACACAAAATTACTACAAATCGTGCCTTGATCCACCAGCTCTTATCAGCTCTGAGGTCTGATAGGTTTTAATGTGGAAAGACTCCAGCATTTCAATCCCACACTAAGATAATTGCATGGAAAAAAGGAGATTAACTGAGACAGGTACCAGCACCACAAATACAAAAGCATTCAGTGATCCAATCTTTAAAAAGTCTTACAAACTGTGCAGTACCAACCCTTCAATAAAATATATAACAGCAATTTTTTTTTTAAGAAGGGATTATAAGGGAAACTCTCAAAGACCCCAAAACCCCATAATCAGTGGGGTTTTACTATCAGGTATTTATTTAATGACTCTTTTCCCACTGCATTGAGGACTCTGGGTTTAAATAGCACAAATGAGAGCTGTGCCAGGCTGAGGCCAGGTTAATAATTCCAGCTCTCACTGCTGGGATGGGGGCAGCTGCTTCTGCACCCCCAAAGCCAGAGCTGTGCCAAAGGTTTGGGGTTTGCTCCCCTGCCCTGGCTGCAATAACCTGCACGTGAAATAATCACACTGGGGGAATGGCAAAGAAACAAGAGGTAAAACTTGATCCAACACCTTTAGCCACACTGCCAAGGATCAGCTCTCCAGGCAGGATTGCTTCCCATAAAATCTATTTTTCTTCTTCAATGTGTACAGATGCACTTGCTGGTTTTGTGTGGATTTTGAAGTTGAAGTGCATTAAAGATATTTCAAGGCAGCAGTTTGCAGTTTAACACAATGGGAGAAGCCAAAGCCATTTGGCAGACAATAAAGCAAACTTGCATATTCACAGGCAGTGCCAGGATTGGCTGAAATCAGGGGAATAAAGGTCAACATTTTTGGTTAATTCTGTTTAAAGCTCCGTGAATGAGAAGATTTGTGCAGCAAGTTCTGCTGCAGAGTATTTTCTGTGTGATTAACTGGCAGAACAATCCCAGTGGAAACCCTCCCAGTATTCCCAGGGCTCCATCCAGCCCAGAATCCTGCAGCAGAATATTCTAATAAGAACTCCCCTAATCTTCACCCAGCAATAATTTCAAGATGATATTATTATTCTCATTTCCTTGAATAATATCCATACTCCAGGGCCATTTTCCTTCTCATATTCAATATGGGGCATGCTCCTATCAAGATTCCTTTCCTCATATCCTGTCACGGTATCAATCACTGCCTGCTGTCCACTCAATCCACTTTTGATTTATCAGCCCCGTCTGCCTGGACTCCATAACTCGACCCAAACCATTTTAGCAAGACAGTGACAAATAACACCCAGGATCACATCAACCTGTTCCACTTAGTAAACTACGGAACAGGAACTGTGACATCCCTCCAGAAGCATTCCCTGCTATTCCCCAGCCTGATGTATATTAATGAGGAGCTGCTATTTGAAATGCTCCTTCCACATCAGCATCTAATATGATCAAATTAGGAAATGGGATGATTTATTAAATTCTGTGGAGCTGAAATATTCTTTCCCAGCTCTGGATGCCTGGCTGCAGAGAGGGAGCTGTTGCTTCCAATTTTTCCACAGGAGGATGTGCCCGCGCTTCGCAGGCGAATTATTGGCTTTAAAAAGATTGTGAGGAGGCGAAATGTTATTAAGCAAATGCTCAGTAAAACAAACTAAATCGGTTTTAAAATTCCTAATTTAATGTAAATCTTGGTTGTTTCTGCTGAAATTCAGTTTGTGATCTTATTAAGTCGTATTTGCATTGTACTCCCTCACTGTAGGACAGCTTGGAATTTATAGCATTACTGGGAAGCTCCACTTTTCTGACTTTAAAAATGCATCTAAAACAGGATAATTATAATATGCACAAGTTTTCTTATCTTCTCAAATAAAACACAACCACTATTGGGAAGCTCCACTTTTCTGACTTTAAAAATGCATCTAAAAACAGGATAATTATAATATGCACAAGTTTTCTTATCTTCTCAAATAAAACACAACCACTATCAGGAAGCTCCACTTTTTTCACCCTAAAAAACTGCATCCAAAATAAAACAGCCAACACACACAAATTTTCTTATTCTCTCAAATAAAACACAACTGTTATTAGGAAGCTCCACTTTTTTAACTCTAAAAATGCATCTAAAATAGGATAATTATAATATGCACAAGTTTTCTTATGTTCTTAAAAAAAGTACAAGCAATATTGGGAATCCTCACTTTTTCCACCCTAAAAATGCATCTGAAATAAAACTACCACAATATGCACAAGTTTTCTTCTCCAATTAAAGTACAAGAAATCAGTTTAGGTTTGCAAACAACACCTATTTAAAATATTTTACACGTAGCATTATAAAAATCCAACTTTTCAAAGTAAAACTTGATCTATCTCACTGCTGGGGATCTGTAAATCACCTGCTCCAATAAAACACCTGTGTTAGAGAAGTTATTAAAAAACACATTACTTTTAACACCACCTTCAGTACCTTGAAAAACAAATTCAAAGAAGATTGTGAGGAGAAAAGATGTTACAGGGCACAGAATCTGTGCCACCTGCATGATTTATACCAAAAGGTATTTAAAGAAACCACAAAAAAGACCTTAACTTCCAACAGGAAGGTGATTTTCTAGAGGCAGACTCCTAATAAATAAAATAAAATGTACAAATTTGGTTTTTCTGGGTTTCTAAAGGGGATAATCCTCTGGGGGTGCAGCAGAGGGTACAAACCAGGGCTGATCTCCCCTTCCCAGGTGGGAACAGCTTTTCCTCCCTTTTTTATCCCCTGGATAACCCATTCCTCACACAGGAACACAGGGGCTGCCTGAGCTCCTCTGGAACCTTTTATTCATTATTTATTCATTATTTACAAGTGGTTTCTTCAGGATTTGCCTTGGAAAGCCATAGGAAAAGAAGTTGTGCCGCCCTGAACAAATAAAAATTGGAATTCATGAGAATTCCATGCCAGCACTAGAAACACACACATTTTCCAGGACAAACATTGTCACACCTGCACCAGGTGGGGCAGAGATGGGGAACCCTCAGTCCTGAACCACCTTTTCCCACCATTTGTATTTGTAGGTTTATTTTTTTTTACCCCTCCATCACATTCCCTCTCTCCCCCACAATCTCATTTCCAGCCTGAGGAATCCTGAACTCCTTGGAAAGCTGGAGAGCCCCTGGGTTGAGTGATTTTGAGGCAGAAAAGGGATTTTTTGGCATCACTGACATGCAAGGCAGGCACAGGCCTGGAGTAGCAGCTTTGTGCTAAACCAAGATTTAACTCCCCAAAATCAGATTAATGCAGAGCTGCTCAGTGCCACACTACAGCAGACTCAGAAAAAATTACAATAAAGGATAGGTTGGGTCCTGTTGGGTTTAACTTTAAGCTTTTGGGCTCCTGTGGGATCATTTGGGATGTTATTTAGCAATATTTCCCCTCTGTGGGTGTGAACAGAACCAGCATTTAAAGGAATGTACAGCTCTACCCCTCTGGTGCTGCACACTCTGCACATGAAATGTTTGATAAACCAAATACTTAATACATAAAATACCTGATACATCAAATATCTGATACACCAACTATTTAACACCAAATATTTCCTAGCAGTAGCCAGGTTTTTCAAGTTCAGGTGCCTAATTTCTATATATTGTAACCATGATTAAAATCAAACCCCTTGGAAAGATGACCACTAAACCACAGCTACTGAGAGCTGCAATTTGTATTTATTATATATTATTGTATGACCATTAAGCCCTAGCTAATGAGGTCTTTAATTTATTATATATTGTTTTATTATAATAAAAATATTTTAAATCAGTTTATCACATTTCCTAACACTGAATATGTGAAAACTCTTCCCTTTCACCTCATTCCTCTGACATTTCTGTGGGTTCAAACTGATTTTTTTTAGCAAAAAAAGTGGAAATCCAGAAAAACAGCTGAACAGCTCTGATGGGGAGGATGCTCTAAGAAAGGTCAGGCAGTTTAATTTCTAAATTTATTTCTGACTCTAAATAATCAAATTTCTACTACAAAGGCACTGCAGCAATAAAGGGTCCAAGCAGCTCCTCCAGTGAAGAGCTGGGAATAAACCATGGAGAAAGGGGAATATTCACATCTTTCAACAACAATTTTTCAACATTTCCAGGCAACAGCTCTCCTGGTTTGGACATGGAAACCAAAGGTTTAACAAATTCTTCGTGCAGGCCCATAAAATCACCTGGCTGAAGATTTTAAATAGGGACCCAAACAGCTTTGATCTGCCTGATCCACTCAATAATTAATTTCAAATCAATAGAAAATGCTAATGGGAAACCTGGTAGCCAGGATAAACTTCAGTTAAACCTCTTAATTGAAAAATACACACAAACACAACCTGAGCATCTTTTAATTAAAGAAGAAAAGTAGATTTTTATAATACCTTTTGCAACTTCTGGATAAGATTTAAATATTTAAATTGTGAAATATTTGTTTGTCACAAACCAATGCACGCAAACTTTCACTGCAGACGTCCTTAAATATTAATAAAAGATTGCATAACTAAAGACTCATCCTTTTCTGACAGGAACACAGGTGAGAAAACCAGTTTATTCTGAACTGCAGGGAGCCAGTGTTATGTGTGGGAATTATGGAAAGCAGGAACCAAAGGAAAAAAATAAAAAACTTGGCCTTTTCCAATTGTTTTTTTGCCACCCCAGGCCCTTTTTTTTGGGTTTTTTTGCTTGAATCAAATGCAAAATATTTTAACTTCAAAAGTGTTCCAGCAGGGTAACTGAAAGATTTACAGAGTGGGAAGCACTGTATGTATATTCCAAATGAGGAATTCCAGGGATGTGTGGTGTGAACCATCACTGCAGCCGTTATTCCCATTTACCCCAAGCCCAGGAATTCTGGCAGGATTTCCCAGGAATGTTTTTGCAGTCAAACACCACTGCTGTTTTCTCCTAGGGTCACTCTTACCTCCTGGTCCTGCTCTTTGACCTGGACCTTTGGGATCTGTAGGATTTGCCTCTGCCCCGGGAGCGGCTGCGCTTCCTCCTGGAGCCGTAGGAGGAGCTGCTGCTGGATCTGTGCCTGCGCCTGCAACAGAGCTGGGGTGAGCCTGG